AGCAAGTTCTTAAAGGCACTTAACAAATGTGGCTAAACACTGTGCCCAAAGTTCGTGAGAAAATGAAAGTGGATAAAGGCCAAATCTGTGAGTTCCGAGGAGTAAAGTATTGATAACGGTAGAAAAGGGATAGGCTAAAGAAGACTGAGTGCTTGAAAACATTTCGTGTAGAGATTACTAACAGAGCGAATGGATTTGCACCACGTAGGTCAGAAAATGTCAGAATAATAGAGAGATACTATAGTGAGACAGTCGGACAAATTCGGGGCTTGCCAAAGGTGATAGAAGATAAAAAAACTGCTTCCACTGAACAAGAAATATTTCATAATTCTTGCGCTACAAGTTTGTAGAGACATGAAGAAAGTAATTATGAAAGAGGAGAATCGGAGACCAAAAATAAAACTGTGGAGTATATCAAACGAAATGAACAAGAATCGAACTGCAGAATATGAGTATGGGGATTGGGCTTGAGGGATACAGGTGTACGAGAGATTTTCTAACACTAATAACGACTTGATTTTTTATTCCAAAACAATGGCAAGACTCTGATATGAATCCGAAAATTGACACACCAAGAAATCTAACGTTAGTGAAGGTGATTGAAGATGCCTGAGGATGTTAGAAGAAATAGAGCAACGCGTGCAGTTAGGCAACAAATGAGCTCAAAGTAGCGGATAAGTCCAGACAACTTAGGTCTTTTCCAAAGCACTACCGGGTTTGCAATAAATCGCAAGTATTTGGCCTTGGTGACAAACAGATGAAATACTAAACGGTATATCAAAAATGAAAAAGGAAAGGTCTATTGCGAACCAATCTGTGGTCTAACGGTTCTTGATCTGTATTGCTCGTCAGAGCTATCGATTGACAGATTCACTCCAACTGACCAAAAACCACGTGTTTGTTCGCTTTGAATAATACTGATAATCGTCTGTTAGTTGCTTGGTTGCTTTTGTGCTGCTCGCTTAAACGTGTCACTACCATGGGTGATATTTACACTCACTATACAACTGTTATACAAGCTAGGCTTGTCANTTGTTCCAATATCAAAATAACTGATTTTCCTAGTCGTACGGGTCTTTTGATCTCATTGAACTGATTCAGAGCAAACCTTTGCCACAATTGAGGGTCCATCATTCACTGATTTGGGATGGAAGCGATTAAGAGTGTTAGCCAGATGAGGCTCTCAGCTTTGGTNAGCCTTCGTAGTTCACAACAAAGCTATCTTCCATTCTTTTCGAAATGAACACAACTGTTTATGAAGCAATGCGATTTTAAGCTTGGGAGATTACCTGAGACGGACATTTCCAAATTCCTCTTTGAATACTCTAAACGATACGCACACAGAAAAATCTGAACACTATTTAGACTCACTAATTCCGCTTTGATTGGGGAAACAATCTCGGACATTTTTGCATCAACCACATCCTTTTTCACACAATCCGGATTTGCCGGACCATATACTGCAAGAAGATCATCTTTGGCAGTCTGGGCTTTATCCAGATCCCGGCAGGCCATAATCACTTCAGCTCCGCGACGAGCCAACTCGGCAGCAACCGATTTCCCGATACCCGAGCTGGCACCGGTCACAATTGCCAGTTTCCCATCCAAACGTATGGGTATATAGCACACCGGACGCCACCAGCCTTTTGTTTCCGGACCGGTATAGATCGACTCGCTCTCCGCCCCGTTCACCTGTGTCATTGCTTCGCAAGTCACAAATCACTGATCTCTGTTTGATTGCACCGGTGCTCGTGTCAGAAAAATTGTGTTTATGACTTGTGTATAAATCTGGATCGATTGAGACATCGGTTCTGCGTCGACGATATAGTACTACTGACACCAACGCATCAGTATACCACATGTGTGCGTGATCAGGTATACTTTTTGCTCAAGTGGTGAATGATGCAGATTGTGATGTAGTAGACTACGAATTGTTTTTACACGCGCCCCCAATGACAATATTTTTACTTCAGGTGTACGCATCGGAAAGATCCGGTACTGTCTGATGAAAACATGTTGTATCCTGTTCTCATCGTGGTACGTCAGCGGATGAATACACAAAAGAAAAGCACAATGAGCGCACAGTTCAGCTGGAAAAGTTTGATGTGCAAACGTTTGTATCAAAACCAAAATCGATTTGAGTTGCGCAACACCTTGAAAGTTAGGCTGCCATTTTGGATGTAGATTTTGTCAATCATTTATTCCGGTTGCTGGCGGCCAAGATAAAGGTATCATTTTATAAAATCAGAATAAAAGGACATTGACTATTCAGAAGGCAGTTACTCGGTAAAATCGTGAAATGATCAGAAAGTAAAAGACAGAGCATAAACATGTGCTTGTGTGCATTGACTTTATATTCCAATCAGATTTTATTGCCCTCGGTAGTCTGTCCTCTGAGCTCAGAATACCACTACTCAGTGTTTTTTACCAAGTTATGTAACATCTTCAGAGCAACTCCAATCGGAGTACTTTTGTCATATTTCCACCAGAATTCATCAAGGTTTAGCTTCGAACGCGCAAACTCACAATACATCGCTAAAATGATGAAAATTCTGGATAATAAGCACAAATTAAAGAGAACCAAAAGAATTTGAAATGAAGGATTTTTCGTAGTGTACATATATATATATGTTAAAGGGAAAGTTCTCATGTATATCACCGGCTTGCAGACTAGCTCGGTAGCAACGCAAGAACCGTTCGAGAGGCCATAATGTTTGTTGGTAAGCCTCTAGTCTCCAGCCGAGATGAAATCCCAAGTGGCAGTGGTATGGCAATTTTCTGATACTATCCCTCCAAGTGCGCAGATTTTTATTCGACGGAATAATTTTAAACACACCTTTACGTATTAATTGAAGAAAGAGTCAAACGGTGTAGTACCAAGGACACGAGTTAGACAGTAACCAGGCTGTATACTACCAAAACAGAGCGACGTTGATGGAGGTATAACCCGAACCGTAAAGTTTATGGCACGCCACTACTAGTGACTCTAACCATTTGATCGCCATCACGATATTGGCAAAAAGAATAAGAGTGCAAGCTCAACGGAACGAATCACGCAAGGGGGCTATCGAACCGCCTAAAAATGCAATATCATTCAATGTATCTAGCTTCTGGTTGCGCTGGTCAATATTTTCATATTCTCATGCCATGTCCTATTTTGACTACCTTTAGCTCTTTCCCAACATCAGTATATTTGGTACGGAGTTGCTGAAATGTGAAAATGTATTCCACATGAACCTGATTAGGTTTAAAACCAGCCATTTTCTTACACGTGTACCCCTCACGTGAGATAGAAAAACGACGGAGAGCTATGTTCAAAGACGATCTTGATTCAACTAGTTCTTCAATATTCTTCACAAAAGGACCTATCAACTTCTTTGTAAATCGGTAAGATAATTGAAGCAGAATTTTTAGTTGGAAACTCTACAGTCTCTCATACTGAACCTGGGAGTTTCATTCAATCCAAGAAAAATTAGCTTTTCATGGAAAGCGTATAACGCATTTAAATTTAAAAAAAACAATAACCATTGTGATGTCCTCGGTTTTTGAAAAGATTTGCATTTCTTCATGCAATGGGCCTACCAGGTTTTCGATAAACCTTTTTATTGCATCCTTTTCTATGATTTCTTTCCGAGTTGCTGTATCTCGCTCATCTTCATAATTTCACATTCACAAACAAAAAGTCACTATGATACCTTAGTCAAAGCCGTCAGAGAGTAGTTAGATGAACGTAAGCTTTTGAGTTCTCAGATGCTTTCTCGTAGATATATGGATAAACTGATTTTGGTTACAGCGACAAATCCTCGAGCTACGCCATACGTACCGTTGTCTAACGGTTGTCGTGTTCCTTGACCTAAAAGGAGCCTTCGACTCAGTTGACCGTGAATCCCTTATGGGTTCGATTTTTCGCAAAGGAATGCTGCAGAAGTATGTGAAAAAGCTGAGTTCACTCTGCTCACATAACTCTGGTAGCGTAAGGGCCCACGGCGAACTGATTAGGTCGTTCGTCACGAGGAGCGGTGTTCGTCAAGGGTGCCCTCTTTCGCCATTCCTGTTCAATTTCGTCATAGACGAAATAATAGAGAACACTAAGTGATCTCCAAAATGTAAGTATTCAATGGGCGGCTGGAGAAAAGCTGTGCGATTTGGAGCACACTTACTTGTTCGAATGTATGGAGGATGCACAAAGAGCACTTGACAGATTATCACGTTCTGTCGCTTTGCTCGGTATGGGCTTTACACCTTCAAAGTGCAAAGTGATGCTGCAACGCTGGTTGTCGCCGAGTTCTGTTGTGAAACTAGACGGTCAGGAATTAGCTAAAGTTGACTGTTTCTCGTACTTAGGTAGCTGCGTGACCAACGATGGTAGCACATCAAAGGAAATAGCCACCTGCATTTTCAAGGCTCGAGCAGCGTACGTAGGACTAAAACACCTGTGGTGGTGACGTGACATTTCACTGAAGTTGAAAAGTCGCGTATACTGCGCTACTGTACGATCAGTTCTGCTTTACGGTTGTGAGACCTCTGACTTGAGGGTGGACGACATCCGTCACCAACTGTTGTTCGACAATCGATGCTTACGCAGCCTGGCCCAAGTGGGATGGAATGAGCGGGTTAGTAACTTAGAAATAAGTCATCGGGTGTTTGGGAATGCATAGAACACGAGCTTGTTATCGCATCGAATTGAGCTCAACATGAGGATGCGAAAACCTTAATCAGGGGATTTGAACATATAGGTTGCATTAGACTGCCCGGATAAGGACTAAGGGAGCAGTGTAACCCACGGCTAGAGATTGCGAGATACGGCTGAGTCTTGCAAACAGTGGCGCTCGTGCACCCTACCCATGTCTTTGCAACCATAGTCCACCAGAATTCACTTTCAGTTTTTATGATCATTAACCATGCATTTGCAAGTGGCGGTTGCGGCTGCTGTCTTTTGGTCACTCGTTTGGATAAAAGAGCCGAAGAAAGATCGAAATGGTAAAAGCAGACTCAAATAGAAGATAGAGAGCTCATATTGACCGGGATTACAAGAATAATGGGAAAATACAAGATGGTCACTGTTTGCGACACCCTGTTAAATCATTCAGTGTTGCTAACCACCGGTTACCATGATCTCGCGATCTCCATCTGAGAAACTTAACGGTACCTATTTGACCAAGTCAACCCTGATGCAAAAATTATTTGTTTTCGCATTGACTCGAATTTCAACATTACAATCTTGATTCTATTCCTTCATCGAAACGGGCAGCCTGACGACAGCAACCAAAACCACCGAACAAAAGGGTGTGATTATGCAGTTTTACGAACTGTGAACTGAGCCTGTGTTGTTTTAAACCCATAGAAAAAACTTGAGTGAATTGTGAAGAATTTACCGTTTTAAACCTGATATTGCCTTGGTACAAAATTTATTTAAAGCCGTTGCAATCAGATGGTCATTATATCTGTTGGTTACTGTTTTCTGACCAACACGATAAATCTTTCTACTGTTGAAATAACGATGTTTAGCCAGGTTTGCAATGAACTGTTCTCTCCGTCTGAACATGTCATCACGGGACTAAACTTTTAATATGCTGCGAATCAACCGTGAAACAGGATAACCACAGTGATCGAATGAGCGAGACAGCCGGATGTGGATCGAGTCTCGGATAAGGTAGAAACCGTCAACAGACAGGAGATTTCTATGGAGGGGTTAATTGTTAATGAGCAAAACGGAAGCAATTATAAATAACATGAACATAAAGATCCAGTTAAACATACAAGCGACTCGCTAATATCTCATGACAAGTTGACAAGGTCGTTACAAAAGTTACCCAATGGAATTAACCCTATAGTCCAGTTCTCTCTTAGTTTCCTTCAACGAAACATTTCATATTAAACAAGCAGACCAATATTCATTAAGCATATCTTGCATGTTGATCTATCACGGATGTCCCCAAACCAGGATAATGTTTTTGATCCTTTTTGTTACCTTCCACTGTGTTCATCCCGGTAATAAGACAAATGTAATTAGAAGTGGTTTGAAAGAAGGAACTTCTTGAGAAAGAAAATGTGTAACATCTCTGCCGAATAACATTTAGTTTTTCCATGAAAGGTCATACGAAAAACCTATTAAGGTTCTCAGTTCGCGTCAATGTGTATTTCTTGACCGAATTGCATATTTGATTGCTCCAGAACTATATATATTCACAATCGATGCTTTACCCAAATCATATTGAAATAAAGAAAGATTTTCTGGATTTGTTAGCCGATCAATTTACCAAATAGTAAAAAATCACTAGACTCTAAGCTTATTCTATCATAAAATTTAATAACAATTCCGGAGTCCTGTCAGGATTTTTAATGTCCTCAAATATTTGTTCTCTTTCTTTTATTTCTCAGACACGAGATTTTAGGTTCGCTGATTAAGTTATGTTGTACTAACCACCTTTTTCATCTTAGCTATATCTCTCCGATTTTCCAATCCCGAGCCGGACTGGAAATAAATAGAATGGAATCCGCTGTTTAGTTATAGGTTTTCATTCATTTTTCGACCTACAATCTCACAGCAATAAATAGCAAATCTTTATCTAGATTGAACGCCATCAAATATCTTTAGGGCACTGGAGACAAAACTCGATAATGGACAGATCAGACAGTTGTTTTGATGCCTTTCATCGTAAAAAAGAAAAACAGTGGAGGAGACAGTTGGTAGCGTTACCTTTGAAGATACACGGCTATTTGATATACATATATGCATATCGCAATAACAAGAACAATAGAGAACCGAAAGGGCTGGGATACAAAACAGTGAGATGGGGAACAAGAATAACATGTTTGTTTCACCATACATCGTTTGATATTCAAAACTCAACGGTTTTCGAAAAATTGAACAGTCTTTCCAACAGAGGGCAGGTGATATGTTTTATCAATGCGAACCCTCTGTAGCGGAGCATACCCCCTACAATGATTGATTTTGACAACAAAATCCAGAATACTTCTGCCGTCAATACCCACTAAGATAACACCAATCATTCACAATGCTGAACATCACTTGCATACCAAATGGAATTTAACTAGAAAACGGACAGTGATTGCAGAACAAACGGAATAAACCCGACAATTTACTTTTGGTTTGTCGGTAGGTAAGAAGCCCCTGACTGCAATGCACGTTTATAAAAGTTGCAATGGGTC